GGACTTGGTTAATGGCTTACTCATAGGTCGCTCCCTGGGTATTGCTTTGCCCCCTATGTAGACCTCATTATTTCCTTGCTGGGTAGCTCCCCTTGATGCATAACTTGATGCCTGATTCACCATATATGGTTCCTTTAGCATGGGTCAATCCCTACACACCCTTATTGATATCCGTAATATTCCTTTTTAATCCTAAAGTTACTGATGGCGGCTTAACCTCCTTCTGGTTAGATCACAAAACTCTTATAACGTAACCTCAACTGTGGTTGACCACGTAGGTCACCTAGGTCCTTGTACCTTCTAGAATGATACCCCTAGGATGCACAATGGAACGATAAACTAACTGAATGCTCATCCTAGTAGCTCTAGGTTCACCTAGGTCTAGCTTTTTAAACAATTTGTAGGGAATGACATTTATGCTAGCGCCTAGATCCGCCAAAGACTTTCCTACATGCATGCTGCCAATAACAAGAGGGATAGTGAAACTCCCTGGGTCTTTACGCTTCTCGGGCAGCTTGTTCTGCAGGATAGCAGAACACTCCTCGCTCAGCATCACTGTCAAAAAATCCCCAAGTTTCTTCTTGTTGGTGAGGAGGTCTTTCATGAACTTGGCGTACTTGGGCATCTTCGACAGTGCCTCCACGAACGACATGCTGATGTTGACCTGCTTCAACATTGCTATGAACTTAGCAAACTCAGTCTCCAGCTTGTCTTTATGTAGGCGAGTGGGGAAGGGAAGCTGGGGTACGTGCTCCTTAACCACTGGCTGTGGCTTGGGAGCCGGTGCTTCTTTGTCCATCCCCACTTCTGCGTTGTCAGCTGAAAGTGTTGAAGCAGGTAGTGGCTCGTCTTGACTGGGCTGGGCAGGAGCAGCAGATGTGGTCTTGCCACTCCTGGTAGTGATGGCATCTAGCTGCTGGTACTGGTGAGGCTCACGAGGATCGGAATAGTGGTAGAAGGCAGAGTCCCCGGTGCCCTGGTAGTGTTTTGGCGAGCCAGGCTACCCATCTGGTTCTGTAAATCTTTCAAAATGGCACCTTGGTTCCTCTGACCTGCCTCCAGTGAAGCTATGCTCTGGTCCATCCTCGTGAAAGTTTCCTGGCTGGTAGTCATGAATGCTGCTAGAATATTTTTCAGCTCTGTCATCTGATTATCTGGAGTCGGTGCTGCTGCTGGCTCGGCATACTGACACTAGGGCTGCTGGAATGATTGCCCCTGCCTAGGCTGGTAGGGTTGCTGCTGTGGGGCTGGCCCCTGTCGAGACTGGAAAGGCTGCCTCTGCTGAAAACCACCAGCTGGTGCTGTGAAACCAGGTGATTTGAGCTCTCACACCACTAACATTGAGCTACTGGAGGTGTAGCCAAACCTCTGCCAGGAATAAGACTGTTGGGCTGCTTCAATGTCTGCACTAACTCAGCTACCTGCTGCTCGAGCCCAGACCTGGCCTCCATGGCGTGCACACCACGGTCCCGGGAATTTCTGCCTCGGCTGCTCTGCCCCAAGGAATGATCTCTGGCAGCCAAGGTACTGATCATCTGGTTCAGTTCGGGTGGAGTCTTAGTAAGAATATCCCCTCATGGGCATAGAGAGACTCAATCACCCTCTGGCTGTCCGGAGAGAGAGCACTGTAGAAGTTCCCCACTGTGAATGCATCACTGAAGCCATGATGGGGACACGGCCAGAAATATCCCATATACCGCTCCCATGCATCACGAAGTGACTTGTGTGGCTCTTGGCGGAAGTGAGTGATCTCCTGCTGGATTTCTGTGGTCTTCGATGCTGGGTAGTAACTGTGCACGAATTTGTCTGCCAGATCGTCCCAAGAAGTGATGGACAATGGGGGCTGGGTCTCCAACCACCTCTTAGCATTCCCCGCCAGAGAATGGGGAAATAGGTGAAGGCGGATTGCGTTATCAGGGACACCGTTTAGCTTGAACCCGTTCCTCAGCTGCAGAAAACGAGAAAGATGCACCCTTGCCTCCTCATCCTTCAAGCCATGGAACTGGATAGAGGATGTAATGAGTTGAATCCAGCATGGCTTGATCTCGAAGTTGTTCGCTGGAATAGGCGGGTGGAGGATGACCGGGCGTATGTCAGCATTCCGTGGAGTGTAGTAGTACTCCAAGGTGGGACCCGGCGGCGGCGGTGGATGATGATGAACCCCATCTGCCTGGGGTATGGGGTTGTTCCCCAAGACCTGATTCGCCGGGGGAACCTGGTGAGGATTCCCCTAGTGTGGATTGTAATCTCCTTCCATCTCCTACTCGTCCTCGGACTCGCTGCTCAAATGGCCGTCTATGCGCTCCTCCGTAGCCAGTCTAGCTCGCTGTTGTCTCCTGAGTTGGCGACAGGTGCATTCAAGCTCCGGATTCAATGGCAGTAAACCTCCCGACTGGCTACGAGTCATGCACTACCTGCACACAGTCAAGGAAGCAAACCCGTGAAGGCACAAGTGTGACAAAGCAAACAATGCGAAAAGAAAAGCTAAATTAACAGAATTCACGTTTCTTCAACAACCTAGCCGTCCCCGGCAATGGCGCCAAAAACTTGACTCACTCCTACTGTCACTCTAGAAAATGGCCAAGTGTAACCACTTCCTAAAGCGTAGTATAGCGGGTTTGGGTTTTAATGTCAACCCGGGTCCTAGATGTGATGACTACTCAGTGAATTCTTATTATCTAGCGGTGAAACTTTAGTGCAGGTTCAAACAAGCAAACAAGAAAGCAATTAAACGGTTGTTTTCAAGTCGAGAGAGGTCACCCGGATATGGTTTCCCCTAGACTGCAGTTAAGCCGGATTGCAATTTACCAAGTTCAGTTTCTATGATAGTTATACTGCGGAAGGTTCTTAAACAGTCTGAAGTCTTGACTAAAGGTCTCCAGACCCTCTCAATCTGAGTCTCCAGCGGGCGACTAACATCCACCGGAGTAAACAGATTGAGGCCCTAACGAACAAAACCTCCACTACAGAAGTAACTCCGGTACAGAATAGTGAATTGGCTCCTCGACTAAAGTCGCCAATTCACCACCTTCAATTAAGGGTGCTCTATCAACCTAGGAAGATATTCTCTTCCTAGGTCAAAGCAGAAATAACAGGAATTTGATCAGGATTCATGCCATTCAATCATTCAAACCTCAATTGAATATAATCAAATCATAGAATCTGTACTTGGGTTCATACAATCAGACCTAACATACAAATCTAGGGTTCTCCATACCCAGATGAATAAGAAAACTACTCCATGGAGAGTAGGGATGGCAATAAAACCCATGACCGCGGGTATCCGACCGCCCCCGACCCAGTCAACGCGGGGAATCCCCGCTTTGATCGGGTATGGGGCGGGTATGTAAAACCCGCAAAAAGTTTGATGGGTATGGGGCGGGTATGGTTTTGACCTCCCCGCCCCATACCCATACCCATACCCGCCCCACCAAGAGAATTTCTTCACATATAAAAAAAATATGTGGATTAAATTGTAATCTATCAATGGTGATGAGGATAACTCAAGGAAATAAATAGTAAAAATGCAATTGAGTGACCATTTTAATCAAAATCTAATTCATTTCCCTCAATTCTCCTTTCACTCTTTCACTTTTCCCCTTATCTACAAGATTATGTTAGTTAATTATTACTTAGTAGATGTATAAGAGTTAGAAGATAATAATTTGAAAAATATTATACTCTATATTATGTATTAATGGATGTTTTAGGATCATATACTTTGAACCGTATTAAGAAAATGATCGTGTTTTGTTGACTTTATGATATAATAGGTTCGTTTAGAGTAATAATTAAAACTTTTATTGTAAATTTTAGGTATAATAATGTTGGATGTATGGGTACGGGTATTACCCATGGGTACCCGAAACCCACGGGTATGGGGATGGGTTTGCAAAACATTCCCCCGCATGGGTATGGGGCAGGTATGGGTTTGGGTATTTGAAGATGGGGATGGGGATGGTTTAGACAAACCCGCCCCAAACCCGCCCCATTGCCATCCCTAATGGAGAGAGAAGCAAAAGCAGATTCAGATGCGGAAACCATACTGTGAAGGATGGGTTTCTGCTCCTGGTTGTCGATCGACACTTCTCCAAGCTCAAGCCGGGCTCCAATGGTGATGAAGATCAAGCTAGGGCACTTGGAAACTCTGGTTTGTCGCTTTCTCTCTCTAGGAATCGCTTTGTCTCTCTAAAACTCGGAACTCCTTCTCTTTTGGCTCAAATCTGCCTAAAAGGGCAACCCTGGGCAAAACACGGTCGTGCTTTGCTGCTGCCCACCCGTTCTCTTGCCACGTGTTAAAAACACGGCCACACCTTGGGGAAAAAACGGTCGTGCCTAATGTTGGACACAACCGTGTTTTGAGGCAGTCCTGCCCGTGTTTTGGGCCAGCGCATGACAATCTTGGATCAAGCCTCGGCAGTAAAAACACGGTCCAGAAACACGGCCGTGCTCTGATTTAGGCGCGCCTGTGCTTTGGCTCCAGCTCGACCGAATGACTTCCGAATGCACCAAAACTCGTGCTTAGCCTTTCCTTCGACGTTTGGGACCTGAAATATGACAAAGTAGCACAACCCGGCGTAAAATATGCCAAAAATACACGACTACGCCCCACAAACGGATAAGAACTAGGGGTGCAAACATGTGCAATTACATTGTTATCAATAACCAATTCGCGAAAATACTTAAAATCATAATACTTAAAAGAATACGTAAGGCGTAGAATTTACCCCCTTTACAGTCACCTTACCTTTGTCGGAACTGACTTGATTTTTGCTCCAAAGTTTCCATACTCGCTTCCACATTTTACACTCGTACTTGGTTGAATAAAATTGGAGCAGCGGCAACTGAAAATAAATAGACCGGCTGCATTCCTCGTATATGTTGAACTGGGAATATAATTTATATCTGAAGTACCATAAAAGATTGATCGGTTCGAAAAGGGGGACCAACACCAAACATCTGATTCTTCATAATTGCACCAGAGGAGACAAATTGCTAGCCTAAATTACCAATTCGTGAGCCTCTATCTCGCCCACAACAAGAAGCTCATCCTCATCACTGTCCGCTGTATCCTTCACCGGTTGATCGGGCTTATCCGGATCGCCATCCAAAATCACACAATCATCATCATCCTCGAAATCCCTGACCAGTTTAGACGATCTGCAGGACTTAAGCTTCGACTTTGGGGGTGTGTTTTCTCCAACTACCACCACACCATCGGAACCATCCGTGTCTTTGTCAACCGCCTGGAGAAGCTCCTCCAGCCAATTGTGATCATCTTCCCATGTGAACTGCCATTTTCTAGGGTTTTTGGGGTTCATCGTAGCCAACTTCTTCTCGGAAAAGGGTTTGGGGAAACTAACTAATGGGGAGGGGTTTGGGATTGTGGCCGCTCGGCCCTTCCATCCCATACTTTAATTTTTTTTTAGATAATAATAATAATAATAATAATAATAATAACAACAACAATTATGTTATTATTCCTAGCCCAGGATTGTAATCCTTCGTACGTAACCGTTAACCCAACCGTTCACGTGTATTTTGGGATTTTTTCCCTATGTTGGGGGCCATAAACATAACCATGTTGATATGATCCAAATCCGAAGAAAACCCTCGAACTCGGATGATATGACCAAAGGAAGCTCCTTAGCAGCTAAGTAATCTCCAAACATGTTTTTAATGCTTAAGGAAGCTCCTTAGTGGTTAAGCAATCTCTTTCCTTGTCATTTTCACATTTGGACAACTTGGGCGGCAAGGATGGACGTTTTGGGCTCCAAGAAATTTTGTAGGCCCGATCCTTAATGCATTCTCCATTTTATCCATCAAGAATGCTCCTACTTTATCCTTAAATCGTCGAATATGAATCTTCATTTTTGAACCACGGGAATTAAATATTGCGCTAGTCGATATCGCATCATTCCCTCTCTCTTGAATAAGATTCGACCTCGACTCTTTACAGAATCTGGATCTTCGATCACCTCCATTCTTCTTGGTCTTCCAACAAAATTGTCTTGGTAGTGAGGATCGTATTATTCCCCCCTTCTTGAAAACAATTCCACCACGAGTTGTAAAGACACCATTGTGATGAAAGCTCTCTACATAGCGCTGAATTTCTTGTCGATTCTCCAAGCGGGCTGCCTCTTCAGAAATTGTATTACCAATCACAGAATCAATATGAGCATACTCGGAAACTATTGGTAAATGTTCCATAATTACCAAGCATTGATCTCCTCCTTTGTATTCTGGTTTCTCATTAAATTGATCAACTTGTTGCGCACTCAAATCTTCAATGTCAACAAGAATATCTCCTTTTACTTCTTCTGCCTCTTCTTCGACTTTCTCCTCTACTTCAAGTTTTTGTTCTTCTCGAGATGGAATCAAAGCTTGTGAATCCTCTTCACAAGTGACTATAGTAAGTCCTTCAACAAGAACCTCTTCCTTCTCTTTCACGTCTTATTTGACTTCCTCTTCTAGTTTTGCTTGAAACTCTTTCTACTTTTTCAAATTATGTTGCATTTGAAGTTGATCCTCATAGATTTCTTTGGGAGATAAAGGCTTCAATACAAACTTCTACCTCTATGCGACCACTTGTACCTCTTGGTGACTCCATCTTGTTGTCCATTTCGATGAAATTGCCATGGTCTTCCAAGCAAAACATGAGCCTCTTCCATTGGCACCACATCACAAAGGACTTCATCTTTATAGCTTCCGAGCTCAAACTTCAATATGGCTTGCTTGCTAACCTCAATTGATCCATCTTCATTAAGCCATTGAAGAGTGTAGGGTTTCAGAATGCTCCTAGTTGATCCTTAAATCGACGAATATGAATCTTCATTTTTGGTCATAAAAACGAGTTATAGTCCTTATTTAAGTAGTATTATGTCTCCTAGTTAGTTTTGGATTTGTTTTCCTGTTCCTTTTAGGTTAGTTTTATGTTTTTGAGACCTCTATAAATAGTGGGTGTAAGACCTACGAATTTTGTACCCAACATTCAAGTTATCAATTAAGGAGATTTTACTCGTGTTTCTTTGTGAACGTTTGTGCAAGACTTCTGTCGAGGATTCCAGGAGATTGTACGTGTCTCTTATCAACTAGAGAACACATCTAGTTGTGGCGAGCATCTATCCTATATCAATTGCCCCTTTCATCAAGTTGATTTTTTCCGATTGGTTTAATATACCAATTGCCCTTTGTCACGAGTTGGGATTGTCCGATTGATTCCGCATCTATCTTTTCTTTCAAGGTGGAGAAAAGCTTCGAAAATCCTTAAAAAGAAGGAAGGCTGCATACTTTGGTCATATCATCCGAGTTTGAGGGTTCTCTTCGGATTTGTATCATATCACATGTCAACCCGAACAATGACCATGGTCTACCGTATGAATATGGCCTAAAACTAGGGTTTGAAACTAGGATGTACATGGGTCGGGTGGTTCACGTTTGGTCAATTTTAATCACGCGACCCATATACTAGGGTTTTGAAAAAATTAAATCCAAACCCCCACAAAAAAAATTAGAACCCTACAGTTTGTTTATAATTTGGTTGGGACAGGTTGGATAAAAGTAAACTCTCAGCCAACCTTAAACTTTAATTTTGGTGATAAATATAGGTGAGTTGGGTCGGATTCGACAAGTGGTCGATTTGCGGGTTATTTTTTTTACCCCTACTTAAAACCATGGAGTGCCAGGAAAATCCAACCAAAACCTAAGATAAGTACACATGATACAAGCCTAGCCAATAAGTTGGTCTTAGTCTTGTTAATTAAGAATACAGAAAATGCAAAAAAAAAAAAAATACAAATAATACAAAAAAAATGATGACAAAACCCAATGCAAAGAAAGCGATGCTCCAATTGAATGACGACACTAGATCGAATGAGGTGCCCAATGATAGGGATGATGACCTATCAAAACCAAAGTTTCTAGCGCTAATCGAATCCACCTGCCCAAGAGAAAGAAGGTTGAAATTCCTCAAAAGAATTTGAAAAGCAAAAGCATAGTTCTGTTCAAAGTTCGCATATAAGTTGTTTTAATCTGTAGATCTTACACCCACTATTTATAGAGGTCATCAATACATAAATATAACCTTCTAAGAATAGAATAACAAATCTCAAACTAATTAGAAAACATAATAACTCATTTTTTAATGTTAAAGAAATCTTCTTAGCAGCTAAGCAATCTCTTTCTTTATCCTTTCCATGTTTGGATGATGTGGCAACAAGTATGGACGACTTGGACTAAAAAATGCTTTTCTTGGGCAGAAAGAATGTACTGTTTATGTCTTGGGCTTCAAGTAAATGCACAAACAACCTACTGAAGTGAGTGTCACCCACCCCTACTACACTATCTATCTCGTGGGGGGCACCCACTCTCTTCCATTAGATTTGTCGTACCACAAAGAGATCACAGCTCAAATTAGGACTAGAGAAAATATAATGAAACATAAATCACGGTTCGAGAGTTGTTTGTAACACAAAAGTAAGAGTACGATGTATAGTGTCAATAATATCATATAGCAGTCTAGGGTTCATCATATACCACAAAAGTTTATACACCCCTAATCATGTCATTATAGTTCACTTAGGTCAATTCTAAGCATCAATATATAATTATCGTGATACGACAAACCCCTAATGTCGTGCTAATCCCTCACCAGTTCTGGTCGTTCAAACACTGGTTTTAGCCTCTCGTACTAAAACGTCAATTTCACGAACGAACCTAGAATTAAAATCCGAGATCGTCCTAATATCCCCTGCAGTGTCCCCGTCAATGTTAGTTCTAGGCTCCGGATCAAACTCTCCATAAAAACACATCAAACCCTGGCTGGAGCTAAATTCAATGATTCCGGCTCCGACCTAAATAATAGCCGAAATTTACGGATTAGAACCAGAGGATTAATTACCTCGCTGCAAGAAGCTCGTATATGAAATCTGGGCTCAATCTGGCTTCAGGATACTCCGAAACCCTAATTTGGCTTATCGGGAATTCAAGGTCCTGAACCAAAAACTCGTTTAAAGCTCTAAATCGATAAACTACGATGTATAGATCGATTAGGTATTACTTACAAGATTTTTGGATCACTAAAGCTCAATAAATTAGCTCTGCTAAGTCTCTATCGAGCTCCCCTGTGCGGCCTTTGCTTCTCTGGTTCTCTCGGTCCTAAAAAAGGAAAAGAAAGAACAAAAATGGGATGGGAAGAATTGGATAGGGAGAGAATTATATATTTAAGTGATCTGTGACCGACTTGATATAATTATATATAATATATTATATATTATTATATATTATATATAATATATTATATAATTAATACGTATACTTATCCGATCGATCGATAATCCGACTTTCGTCGAAATACTATCAAAACCCTCGATTTTAATCGCGTAATTTTTCTAGCGACAGTAATACGATTTAGCCGAAACGGAATGTTGCAAACGGGCTATAGACATGAGTCAAAGCTGGCCATGAAACCTAGCAGTTGAGAAGCCAAGAAGTACAAAAGGACTCACATTCGAATTTGTGGTGCTTCGTTGTGGACCGCAACTTTCAAGTTCACGACCGTGAACATGATGTTGTGATCTCCGTAGATGTGACAATATAAACTCGGATGAGGACATTTCTGATTAAAGAGGTCTAGACACTTCACATTTGCATTGGAGGACTCTCAAGAAAACGCGTCAAAATCAATGGACTCCTTGGCCAATAGCTCAAATTGGAGAGTGCGATCAATAATTAATCTCATGATAAATACTTCAACACAATATATAATTGAGAGTGTAGCATCGATCATCAAACCCTAACATAGATTGCTAGAAATCTACACACCGAAGTGAGAATGGAGTCTACTCCATAGTGATTAAGAGAAGAAAATACAAGTTCACGAAGAAAAATCATCTTGTGGGGATGGGCTCTTGATCTTGAGCTCCAATCTTCACACATAGTTGATGAATCTTCCCTCCAATTGAGGTTTGATTGCTCCAATCATCTTCTAGGGTTCCTCCTTCGCAACCTTCTCTCTTTAGGAAGTTGTTGCTCTCAAGTTTCTCTAAAATTCATCTCCCCTTGCACAAATGGCTTCATATATGATTATATACCCAGAATTGCGCAAGTCACTGATTCTCGTCATGACCGTGATGTTCTACAGTGATCGTGATGTTAACCAAAAATGCATTGCATCACTCGCACAAGTCAAGACTATGTTTCCCATGTCACGGATGAAACCGTGACGTGGCTTGTCGGCGCAACATGTGTAATCCCTCCTGGAGTCTGTAGAGAGTCACAGCTTCTTCTATAAATGTGACGGATTGTGACCGTGACTTATACG